CTCACTTAAGAAGCATCGCTTTCTGCTACGACACTGGAGAGAGCTTTTGTGCTTCATGTTATTAAGATGTAAAATGTATAACCATTTCAAATGTGATCTACAGTTAGCTTATGAAAAAAGTGCTCGCTTGTTGCCCCTATGTCTGTAAAAAGTTCCCTTTCGACCTTATGGACAGTAATGTTTTTTTTGGGATTTATTATTATTTGCATATTTTTTTGACTTGGGATGGTATAGCATTGCTGCAGTACTTGGGCGTTATGTATAATACGCTTACATCTCTCCTCAGCCTTAAATGGAGGCACTGTGGTCTCAAGCACTAACTTGTTTCGAGAACTAACAATATGGTTCTCAAGTCTAACTTGTTTTCGAGAACTAAGGAATCACTCCAAACTAGAGAAAAATGTTGCCGATATGCCAGTGGCGTATTATTAGTATAGAATACCGACAAAACTAATGAATAATACATGTGCAACACTTGGATATCTTTATTGCAGAAAGTCTGCTATGCAATAAACTTCTAGTTGAATACAAAATGGATTTAGTACAGTGATCTTGAAGTAAATTATTCCCTTGAAGGACGGGATGATTCCCTTTAATATTACTTCGTTCCAGTATTATTTTCGACTGAATGCTGCTGCTGTGCAGGCAAACATTTCAGCAAGAGATACCGAAGTGTTTCACGTATGTTTTATTGATATGCCATGTTTACGGCAAAACTAGATCTCAGAAAATATACACGTGAAAAACAAAGTGGCTGATATAGATCCTAGGCTAATCAGTTTTTTGGTTTACTTGATTCTTGCAATTTTATCTTTAAGAATCGTGTCTATAGGCTACCAAACAAACCATACTTAGGGAACTTGAGCAAATTATTCAAAGGTGATGAACTGATTAGATAACTTTGGTCTACTATTATTATTATTATAATCAAGGGGGAAGCGCTAAACCCGGAGGATTATACAGCGCCTGGGGGGGGGATGTGGAAGGCATTCAGGCTTAATTCGGGGAACTGGAGCACAGATCCAATTCCCTAAATCAAGAGCCCCTCACCAACATTAAGATCTCTTTAGCTAGGTGATAAGCCTAGGCCTATCGACTGCTAGGATCATTAGCGAGGTGATAGTTATCATGTGCCAATTTTATTAATTGGTTTGTGAAATAAGTTGGAGAATGCCTCTTCTGATCAGCAATAAGTCAGTTTCACTTTATTTGGTTATCCTAGATTAAACTTAAATATTCTTTCGTGCATCAATAAATTCTGTGCTCTCAAGAGTCTAGTTAAAAAACTTTTTTTTGTACACTAGGCTTACATTATTATTATTATAACCAAAAAGAAGCGCTAATCTAGGCTTGCATAAAACTCTTGTATCCTATTATCTTAGAGAAAAGTTTGGATTAATTTTAGCCGGTGTGTTCCAGTTAGTTTTATTTGAAGAAACTGGAAAAACTTAAATACTGATTTTTTTTGATAATCAGAATGCTACATTTGATCAGCTTCCATGCATGATCAAGAATGAAACTTCTTTAGCGGCTTCAAGCTTATGTGCTATGTTCTAGATATTGTTTCTAAAATGTTTGAATTAGATTTAGCCGTATAGCCTTTAGTTTTTTTTTTTGTTTTTTTCCGGGGGTTTTTTTTTTTTTTTTTGGGGGTTTTTTTTTTTTTTTTGTTTTTGGTTTTTTTTTTTGGGGGGGGGTTTTGGGTTTGTTTGTTCTTTTTTTTTTGGGGGGGTTTTTTGGGGGGGGTTTCCGTTGTTTTTGGGGGTTTTTTTTTGGTTTTTTGGTTATTTGGGAAATTTTTTTGGGGTTTGTGATAGGGTGTTTTTTGGGGTTTTTTTTTGTGTTTTTAATATTTTTTGGGGCTAAGTTTGTGGTGTAGCTTGTTGGTAGTTTTAATTTAAAATGGGTTACCCGTGACTTAGTGCTTTGTATGTAATTTCTTTTGTGACTAGTTAAACTTTTTGTCATTGTTAATTATGTTTTATTTTTGTGGAAAAGGGTTTTTGTAAAAGGTGTATCTTTCTTTTGAGAATTGTATTAGCTGTGTTTCTTATTTTTTTAAAATCTCAATATTTTGTGTTCAAAGTTTATTTTTTTTGTATCAGAGAATTTGTCGTTAAATGGTATTTTAATTTGTTTTGAGAGTTGGATTGTTGTAGGGGGTTGTGTCCTTTTTTTTTTTTTAAAAAGGGATTTGTTTTGATTAGGTGTTTTGGGTTTTATTTGATAACCACTGCATGTTTTTGGGTTTTTATGGGAAGTGATTGGATAGGTTTTTTTTAGGATAAAGTGTTTAACTTGATGGGTAATTTGTATTTATGTTTTTGGGGTAGTTTAAATTTGGGTGTGTTTATATATTTATTTTTATATTATATTTATTTTTTTTTTTTTTTTTTTATTATGGTTTTTTTTTTTTTTTTTTTTTTTTTTTTTTTTTATTTTATTTTTTTATTTATTTATTATTTTTATATATATTTATAATTTATATTTAAAATATTTATTATATATTAATATATATAATTATATATATATTATTTAAAAATTTATATTTATTATATATATTTATTATATTATATATTTTATATATATTATATTTAATATAATATATATAAAATTATATTATATATATATATATATATTATATATTTATTTTATTATATATATTTATATATATTTTATTATATTAATATATATATAATATATATATATATATTTTTTATTATATATATTATATTTTTATATTAATAAAATTATATATTTATATATTATTATATATATTATATATTAATATATATATTATTTTTATATTATATTTTTATATTATATTTATATATTATATTTTATTTATGTATTATTATATTTTATTATATATATATATTATTAATTATATATATATATTTTTTTATATATATTTATTATATTTTATTATATTTATATATATATATATATTATATATATAATTATATATTTTTATTTTATATAATATATATTAATTATATATTTTTATATTATATATTTATTATATATTTATATATTATAATTATTATATATATTTATTATAGTATATATATATATATATATATATATATTTATATATATATATATTATATATATATATATATATATATATATATATATATATATAATATATATATATATATATATACACACCCTAAACTGGACCTCGCTCTCAGAAAGAACGTGTTATAAATACTAGATGTTTAGCGCTCAGTTCTGATTGTAATAATGAATACTATATGTATTTCGATCGCTGCACGACCCGAGGAAAGTATACCTGTATTCCATAATCCCAGTCTCTTGTCTCTCCACTGGAATAGTGCGGCATAAGTTGATCATGCAGTTTGTTAGTCAAGATTTGAAAGAAATCAGAAGAGGCATTCATAAGTCATGGAAACTAATGTCCATTTTTTTAAATAAAAAAAACTAAAGGGTCTATACGGTCTAAATCTAATTCAAACATTTTAGAAACAATATCTAGAACAGTAGCACATAAGCTTGAAGCCGCTCAGAAGTTTCATTCTGATCATGCATGGAAGCTGATCAGATGTAGCATTCTGATTATCACAAAAAATCAGTATTTAAGTTTTTCCAGTTTCTTCAAATAAAACTAACTGGAACACACCGGCTAAAATTAATCCAAACTTTTCTCTAAGATAAACTAGGATACAAGAGTTTTATGCAAGCCTAGATTAGCGCTTCTTTTTGATTATAATAATAATAATGTAAGCCTAGTGTACAAAAAAAAGTTTTTTAACTAGACTCTTGAGAGCACAGAATTTATTGATGCACGAAAGAATATTTAAGTTTAATCTAGGATAACCAAATAAAGTGAAACTGACTTATTGCTGATCAGAAGAGGCATTCTCCAACTTATTTCGTTTAGCGCTTCCCCCTTGATTGTAATAATAATAATAATCCAACTTATTTCACAAACAAATTAATAAAATTGGGCACATGATACTTCACCTCGCTAATGATTCCTGCAGTCGATAGGGCCTAGCCCTTATCACCTAGCTAAAGAGATCTTACAGTAGACCAAAGTCCCCTCAAGGAAGGTTCCTTGATGTTGGTGAGGGGCTCTTGATTTAGGGAATTGGATCTGTGCTCCCGTTCCCGAATTAGCCTGATCCTTCACATCCCCAGCGCTGTATAATCCTCGGTTTAGCGCTTCCCCTTGTTATAATAATAATAATAGTAGACCAAAGTTTTAATCAGTCATACCTTTGAATAATTTGCTCAAGTTCCCTAAGTATGGTTTGTTTGGTAGCCTATAGACACGATTCTTAAAGATAAAATTGCAAGAATCAAGTAAACCAAAAAACTGATTAGCCTAGGATCTATATCAGCCACTTTGTTTTTCACGTGTATATTTTCTGAGATCTAGTTTTGCCGTAAACATGGCATATCAATAAAACATACGTGAAACACTTCGGTATCTCTTGCTGAAATGTTTGCCTGCACAGCAGCAGCCTTCAGTCGAAAATAATACTGGAGACGAAGTAATATTGAAGGAATCAGTCCCGTCCTTCAAGGGAGATAGACTACTTCAAGATCACTGTGTACTAAATCCATTTTGTATTCAACTAGAAGTTTATTGCATAGCAGACTTTCTGCAATAAAGATATCCAAGTGTTGCACATGTATTATTCATTAGCTTGTCGGTATTCTATACTAATAATACGCCACTGGCATATCGGTCAACATTTTTCTCTAGTTTGGAGTGATTCCTTAGTTCTCGAAAACAAGTTAGAACTTGAGAACCATATTGTTAGTTCTCGAGAACAAGTTAGTGCTTGAGAACCACAGTGCCTCCAGTTTAAGGCTGAGGAGAGATGTAAGCGTATTATACATAACGTCAAGTACTGCAGCAATGCTTATAGCCATGCCAGTCAAAAAAATATGCAAATAATAATAAATCCCAAAATAAACATTACTGTCCATAAGGTCAGAAAAGGGGAACTTATTACAGACATAGGGGCAACAAGCGAGCACTTTATTCATAAGCTAACTGTAGTATCACATTTGAAATGGTTATACATTTTACATCTTAATAACATGAAGCACAAAAGCTCTCTCCAGTGTGCGTAGCAGAAAGCGATGCTTCTTAAGTGAGACCATCAAAATTATAACAAATAAACCCAAGACTTGAAGAGGCTAAATCAGTGAAATAAAATTGTAACCAAAAAATCTTAGGAATACAATAGTCATCCCAAAAATCACAAGCCAGAGTTCATCCTCAAGGAATACTGCACTGTATGGAGCATCAGTGTCCTGACAGTGATGTAAGAGACTGGCTGAGGTATTTCCAGTGCCCTTATCTATGATGATGACTTTTGTGGATTTTGAAATATATGCAGCAATCAGCAGCTATTACTGAGGTGATTAGAATCCGTGACTGTTAAATGAAAAGTGTGCGAGGGAACTGTAAACTTGTGGCGTCGTGCAAGCAGAGGTGTGTTTGCAACTCGTCCTCCTAAACAAACGTCGGTTTGTAACTATAATTCAAGACTGAAGAAACAAAAAAAGCTGAAAGCGTCACTGAAATATGAACATTGGTTTTCTGATACATTGATTTCCTGAGCCATCTAGGTGGTTGCTCGTTTTGTTAGTTCATCAAAACAGTCTCAGCTTCCTATATTTTCTCATTGGCTTTTTATATTACATTGTTAAATTTAGTTAATCGACATTTAGCCAAGTGTTATTTCTATAATATTTCCTTTCCAATTAAGGAGACTTGGTATGAGACGAGCTGTATAGCCCTTGTGGTTTAGCGCTTCTTTTTTATTATAATAATTTTATTATAATAATGGTATGAGACGAGGACATTTATCCTGGAACCCTAAATGGATGCAACTGAAAGTAGTTTATGAAGAAAAATAGGCACTTAATACAGTACGACACCAACGTAGTGAGTTAGGAGGACAGGTCAATATTTATGTATGCTTGTGCGTGTATCAGGAATAGGTATGGTTAAAGAGTATGAGTATTATTTTTCCCAGGGCAGACTTAAACAGACTTAGGATCAATAAAATTTAATTTATTGCCTTGTCTCAAGCTTGGGCATTATAGTGGCCGTTGTTGTGTTGTGAGCATAGAGGCGCCACTCAACGCCTCACAGCCGACTTATGGCACCAACAGTCTGGTTGCTTGACCCAAGTCAAGCTCCAAAATAAAGTCAACTAACATAATCGCTTCTTAAATAAATAATACATCTGTAGAAGAAAACCAACATTAAAACAGTATTAAACATCGGATTCATGTATATATTTTGTTATAAAAAAATGCTTTAAATGCATAGATGCACACATTTTTTTCACTATAAAACAGGTATATTAAATAACCAAGCACCATTTGAGAAAGCTGTAGCCCATAATGGCAAGGAGACTAAGGTCTGGGTGGGCCACAGGCTGAGTGGGCAGGTCAAAAGTTTGGTCACAACATGCCAAGGCCTAGTGCCATCTGCCTTAGGCCTAGGGAAAGCCTGGCCGGAGACAGAGGCTAATTGGCAGCTACCATCTACTGTAAATTGTTAAGAGATGTCCCCAATCTTAACAAGCTAGAGCAGATGAGTAGCATTGCCTCTAGCTACTGTTATCACTTATTTGCTATTCTCAATAAATTGTCCCTTTCAATCACTAAGCCATACTTAATATAAAAGCACGTATTGTCATATTCATTTTGATTACAAAATTATATTCTTAGTCAAGATTATATAAAAATAGGAAAGTGAATTTGTGATGGCATTCTTTGATAATAGCGAGGATAATATTATAAATAGCTGTCCTAATAGCTGAGTAGTTGACAAAAATGTATTATTAGAGTCATCACAGTATGAAGGTAATATTGTCAATACACTGGAGGCGGTCACATAAGGCGGTCATCATCACAGATTAAAAATGAGCATTGCTGTGCGTAAGAAAGTAAGACCCTTTTGGTCTCCAGGATAAAAAAAAAATTATATTGTAGTAAGTTTTGATCGGGAAGTAATGTCAAATCTTGTATGTTTCAGCATCTTGATCACTCGACTATCGGAAGATAAAATTTATGATCCTTTCCGCTGTGTGTAGGTTTGTAGGTCGAGGATCGAGTTTCGAGAAGAGAAGCAGGACATGGAGTTACAATCTGCCACTCGCCCCTTCGGGTAATGGTCGCATCCCTCCATGGATCATATTCTGAGTGGAAGGTGATTGAGGAGGAATTACCTCGCCCTCTAGCCACTCTCTGTGTCTCCGTCCTTGTGGTGCTGCTGGATACCCGTCTCTGCTCACTCTGTTGCTGATGATTTGCAGACCACTTACGGTATTCCTCTTGAGATGCCCCTGCTATGTGGGTTGAATGAGTTGCCCCATGTGCTGTTTCTGTCTTGCTACCACCACGGAGGTCTAGGGCATCGGCTTGCCGAAGCGAGGATGCCATCTCTCGCGTGGAGGCTGTTGATTCTAGTTTTTGATCTAAACTAATTTGACTACTGGAAGAGGATTTCTGAACCCCACTTGAACGAGTCTTAGTTTCCATTATACTGACATCTTCGCCAAGAGAGAAGGAGGACTGGTTGTGTCGAGAGTGCCCTGTAGGAGTAGTGGGAGAAGCTGCTGGTTGAGGAGATTTTGCTTTCAATGTTTGACCATTTGATGTTCCTTTAGCTGTAACAGTGCTTGAAGTCTCAATCTTGCCTTCAGCAGAGGAGATCTTTCGCTGTTCAGAAGTACTCTTTACACTTGTGGCTCGAGACTCAACACGTGAGGCTGACTTAGTCTCTCGGCTTTCTTTAGTAATGATCTTAGTAACTTTACGGCCATCGGCAGTGTATGACTCCATTTTCTGTACATCTCTGTGTTCAGTCGAGTCGGCTTTTTCTGACCTGGATTTTTGAAGAGATGCTGATTCCTCTATTTTAGTGGCTACTGATTCTCCAGATTTCAGTATAACCGTATCTCGCCGGGTCTTTGCTGTGCTTCCAGCTGCAGCAGTGACTTTAGTCTCTTTAACTTCAGCCTTTCCATTGATGATATTGCTGTCCCGTCTGGTTCCAGTGAATTCCCCTTCTAGTCTTAGATTGTCTCCATGCTTTGCTGGAGAAACTCGGTCACCTTTACCTGGAGAGGTACGACCTCGTCCTTCAAAGTCGCCTTCCATCTTGAGATTATCTGGGTAGCGTTTCTGCTGCAGACGTTCACCTGGACCAGGACTAGTTCTTGCAATACCTTCAAAGTCACCTTCTGATCTGAGATTGTCTGGATACCTCTTCTGTTGTAGTCTCTCACCTACTCCTGGGCTTTCTCTCATTTTGCCCTCAAAACTACCTTCCATTTTTAAATTATCTGGGTATCGTTTTTGAGGAAGACGTTCACCTGTTCCTGGACTATCCTTAGAGCGCCCATCAATGTCACCTTCCAATCTGAGGTTGTCAGGATGTCTTTTTTGTGGAAGACGTTCTCCTTTTCCTGGAGATCCTTTCCTTCTGCCTTCAAAATCACCTTCCATTTTAAGATTGTCATCATATTTATATGGTGACGGGCGTTCTCCGACTCCTGGTAGGTCTTTAGGTCGTCCATCAAATGTGCCAGTAACTGAAAGATTATCTTTTGGTTTCTTCACTTCCGCTCTGTCTCCCTTGATTGGACTAACTTCAGGGGATTGACCATAGAATTCACCCTCCATCTTCAAGTTATCCTCTTGTTTCTTTATATGTACTCTCTCTCCTTTTACTCTGAAGGTTTCATTTCTCTTTACTCCATCTTTAGTAGGGGTACTAGTTCTCTGGAAGCCTTCAAACTTGCCCTCCATTTTCAAATTATCTTCGTGTTTTCTAATTTCAACACGTTCTCCTTTAAATGTTGATGCACTCTTTCTTCTGCCTTCAAAGGTTCCTTCCATCTTCAAATGGTCTTCATGTTTCTTGATTGCTGCTCTTTCACCTTTTGTGATAACAGTGGTTTCCTTTGTGACATTCAAGGATCCCTCCATTTTTAAGTTATCTTCATGCTTCTTAATTTCAGCTCTTTCACCTTTTACAACTGAAGTCTTGCGAGCTGCATCGAATTCCCCTTCTTGTCTCAGGTTGTCCTTTGGTTTTTTAACATCTGCTCTTTCACCTTTTCCAAATGTGGCAGATTTTCTTCGGCCTTCAAATTTTCCTTCCATTTTGAGAGAATCTTCATGCTTTTTAATAACAGCTCTCTCCCCCTTCATTACTGAAGTCTTCTTTTCAATGCTCAAGTCACCCTCCATCTTCAAATTATCTCGTTGCTTCTTGATTTCAGCTCTTTCTCCTTTCTGCATAACTGTTGTTTTCACCTTTCCTTCAAATTCTCCTTCTGTTTTCAAGTGATCAAGTTGTTTCTTGATTTCAACCCTCTCTCCCTTTGTTGCCATTTCTTTTTTAGTGATGTGCATATCCCCTTCAAGTTTCAAAGAATCTTCATGTTTCTGTACAGCTACTCTCTCACCTTTTGTAGCATATAATGTTCTTGTAATTTCGAGCTCTCCTTCCATTTTAAGATTATCAGCATGCTTAGAAATTTCTGCTCTTTCTCCTCTAATAACTGCCTCATCCCTAACAAAGGACATGTCACCTTCCATTCGAAGATTGTCAGAATGTCTTTTAACATCAGCTCGCTCACCTCTGATAGTGGCAGACTTCCTACGTCCTTCAAAGCTTCCTTCCATTCTTAATGAATCTTCATGTTTCTTAATTGTAGCCCGCTCACCCTTCAGAGGGCTCTCTAAAGGTTTACCTTCAAATGTGCCTTCCATTTTAAGATTATCTGGGTGTTTCTTGATGGGTGCTCGTTCTCCACGAGGAGCCTCTTCAGTGGGTTTTCCCTCAAAGTCTCCATCTGTGCGCAGATGGTCAGGATGGTGGACAATAGGAGCTCTGTCTCCCTTTACTGGAATCTGATCATGCCGGCGTCCTGTAAACTCTCCTTCCATATGCAAGTTGTCAGTGTGCTTCTTAATTTCTGCTCGAACTCCCTTATGAATTTTATATTCTTCTTTTTGAAGGGTATCAAGATGATATTTGCCCTCAATGGTAAGGTTGTCAGTATGTTTTACTTTTTGGGCCCGCTGTACCTGATGGAGTTGATAATCATCAGTAAACTGAGTCTTACCCAAAAATTCTCCCTCCTGCCTTAAGTTATCAACATGGCGATGTGTCTCACTACGAATGCCAGAAACTACAGGATAGTCGTAGTGGGTACTGGACTGGCCAGCCCATTCTCCTTCCATGTGCAAATTGTCTTCATGACGTTTTATTTGTGCTCTTTCTCCATAAAGAGTCTCTTCATCTCTGGGCCGACCAGTGAAGTCACCCTCAGGCTTAAGATGATCAGGATGCCTCTTGACTGGTGCACGTTCCCCACGTGGAGCATCTTCTGGAGTTGGTGCATAGAAGTCTCCATCCATGTGGAGATTATCAGGATGTTTCTTGACAGGGGCTCTTTCAGCATAAGGAGCATCTTCTCGAGGTTTTCCTTCAAAGTCACCAATCATCCTGAGGTTGTCTGGATGTTTCTTGATTGGAGCCCGTTCCCCTCGTGGAGCATCTTCAGGTGATGGAGCATAAAAAGCTCCATCCATGCGAAGATTATCAGGATGTTTTTTCACTGGAGCTCTTTCTGCATAAGGAGCATCCTCACGTGGTTTGCCTTCAAAGTCTCCTAACATTTTTAAGTTGTCAGGATGTTTCTTTACAGGTGCACGTTCCCCTCTAGGAGCATCTCCTGATGTAGGCGCATAGAAATCTCCATCCATATGAAGATTATCAGGATGTTTTGTAACAGGGGCTCTCTGTGCATAGGGAGCATCTTCCCGAGGCTTTCCTTCAAAGTCACCAACCATTTTGAGATTGTCTGGATGTTTCTTGATTGGAGCCCGTTCTCCTCTTGGAGCATCCTCAGGTGATGGAGCATAGAAGTCTCCATCCATGCGAAGATTATCAGGGTGTTTCTTGACTGGAGCTCTTTCAGCATAAGGTGCATCTTCACGAGGCTTTCCTTCAAAGTCACCAGCCATCTTAAGGTTGTCAGGATGTTTCTGGACAGGTGCACGCTCCCCTCTTGGAGCCTCTCCAGGAGTTGGAGCATAAAAGTCACCATCCATTCGAAGATTATCAGGATGTTTCTTGACTGGGGCTCTCTCTGCATAGCGAGCACCTTCCCGAGGCTTTCCTTCAAAGTCTCCAGTCATCCTAAGGTTGTCAGGATGTTTCTTGACAGGAGCTCGCTCTCCTCTTGGAGCATCTTCAGGTGTTGGGGCATAAAAGTCTCCATCCATATGTAGATTGTCAGGATGTTTTGTAACAGGGGCTCGCTGAGCATATGGAGCATCTTCCCGAGGCTTTCCCTCAAAGTCTCCAGTCATCCTAAGGTTGTCTGGATGTTTCTTGACAGGAGCTCGCTCTCCTCTTGGAGCTTCTTCAGGGGATGGTGCATAGAAGTCTCCATCCATGTGTAAATTGTCAGGATGTTTTGTAACAGGAGCTCGCTGAGCATAGGGAACATCTTCGCGAGGCTTTCCTTCAAAGTCTCCAGTCATCCTAAGGTTGTCAGGATGTTTCTGAACAGGTGCACGCTCCCCTCTTGGAGCTTCTCCAGGAGATGGTGCATAGAAATCTCCATCCATGTGAAGATTATCAGGGTGTTTCTTGACTGGTGCTCTTACAGCATGGGGAGCATCTTCACGAGGTTTTCCAGTGAACTCTCCATCCATATGCAGGTTATCAGGATGTCTCAGAACAGAAGCTCGCTCTCCAATTGTGACCTGTTCATATTCTTTACCAGTAAATTCACCCTCCATTCTAAGGTTGTCTTCTCTTCTGATTGTTTCGACTCGCTCACCTCTGTAAACTGTGTGCTCCTCTTTACCCTGGAATTCTCCTGTCAGCTTTAGGTTATCAACTTGTCGCTTAACAGGAGCTCGTTCACCACGTGGAGCATCTTCAGGAGTAGGAGCAATGAAGTCACCCTCCATACGGAGATTGTCGGGATGTTTCTTGACAGGAGATCTTTTTGCATAAGGAGCATCTTCTCGAGGCTTTCCTTCAAAGTCACCAACCATCTTCAGGTTGTCAGGGTGTTTCTTGACAGGGGCACGCTCCCCTTTTGGAGCCTCTCCAGGTGTTGGAGCATAGAAGTCACCATCCATACGGAGATTGTCAGGATGTTTCTTGACTGGTGCTCTTTCAGCATAAGGTGCATCCTCTCGTGGCTTTCCCTCAAAGTCACCATACATTTTTAAGTTGTCAGGATGTTTTTGAACAGGAGCACGCTCCCCTCTTGGAGCTTCTCCAGGAGTTGGTGCATAAAAATCTCCATCCATACGGAGATTGTCAGGATGTTTAGTGACAGGAGCTCTCTGTGCATATGGAGCATCTTCCTGAGGTTTTCCTTCAAAGTCTCCAACCATCTTTAGGTTGTCAGGGTGTTTCTTCACAGGTGCACGTTCTCCTCTTGGGGCTTCTTCTGGGGTTGGAGCATAGAAGTCACCATCCATACGAAGATTATCAGGATGTTTCTTGACAGGGGAACGCTGTGCATAGGGAGCATCTTCTCGTGGTTTTCCTTCAAAGTCTCCAGTCATCTTAAGATTGTCAGGATGTTTCTTCACAGGTGCACGTTCTCCTCGTGGTGCATCTTTATGTGTTGGAGCATAAAAGTCCCCATCCATACGGAGATTGTCAGGATGTTTAGTGACAGGAGCTCTCTGTGCATATGGAACATCTTCACGAGGCTTTCCTTCAAAGTCACCAACCATTTTAAGGTTGTCAGGGTGTTTCTTCACGGGTGCACGTTCTCCTCTTGGAGCCTCTCCTGGGGTTGGTGCATAAAAAGTCACCATCCATCCGAAGATTATCAGGATGTTTCTTGACAGGGGAACGCTGTGCATAGGGAGCATCTTCTCGTGGTTTTCCTTCAAAGTCTCCAGTCATCTTAAGATTGTCAGGATGTTTCTTCACAGGTGCACGTTCTCCTCTTGGTGCATCTTCGTGTGTTGGGGCATAGAAGTCCCCATCCATTCGCAGGTTGTCAGGATGTTTCTTGACAGGGGCACGCTGTGCATAGGGAGCATCCTCCTTAGGCTTTCCCTCAAAGTCTCCAACCATGCGTAGGTTATCTGGATGTCTTTTAACAGTTGCTCGTTCTCCAATTGTCACTTCCTCATGCTCTTTACCAAAGAATTCTCCTTCCATTCGTAAATTATCTTCTCTTCGAACAACTTCAACTCTTTCACCTCGGATGACTGTATGTTCTTCTTTTCCTTGGAATTCTCCCGTCATTTGCAGATTATCAAGATGACGTTTTACAGGTGCTCGCTCACCCCGTGGAGCTTCTTCAGGTGTTGGTGCATAGAAATCTCCATCCATATGAAGGTTATCAGGATGTCTCTTCACTGGCTCTCTCTGAGCATAAGGAGCATCATCTCTAGGCTTTCCTTCAAAGTCTCCAGACATCTTCAGATTGTCTGGATGCTTCTTAACTGGTGCTCGTTCCCCTCGAGGAGCATCTTCAGGAGATGGGGCATAAAAGTCTCCATCCATGCGAAGATTATCTGGGTGTTTCTTGACAGGAGCTCTTTCAGCATATGGAGCATCTTCCCGAGGTTTTCCTTCAAAATCTCCAACCATCTTCAGGTTGTCAGGATGTTTCTGAACAGGAGCTCGCTCTCCTCTTGGTGCTTCTCCAGGACTTGGAGCATAGAAATCACCATCCATGCGAAGATTGTCTGGATGTTTCTTAACAGGGGCCCTCTGTGCATAGGGAGCATCCTCTCGTGGTTTACCTTGGAAGTCTCCATCCATTCTTAAGTTGTCAGGATGTTTCTTGACAGGGGCACGCTCTCCTCGTGGCACATCTTCAGGTGATGGAGCATAGAAATCACCATCCATACGAAGATTATCAGGATGCTTTTTGACTGGAGCTCTTTCTGCATAAGGTGCATCTTCACGAGGCCTTCCTTCGAAGTCACCAACCATCTTGAGGTTATCAGGATGCTTCTGAACAGGTGCACGCTCACCTCTTGGAGCTTCTCCAGGGGTGGGTGCATAGAAATCCCCATCCATGTGGAGATTATCTGGATGTTTCTTACCAGGTTCCCTTTGTGTGTAAGGAGCTTTCTCTCGAGGTTTGCCCTCAAACTCTCCGACCATTTTCAAATTATCAGGGTGTTTTTTGATGGGTGCACGTTCTCCTCGTGGAGCATCTTCAGGTCTTGGAGCATAAAAATCTCCATCCATGCGAAGATTGTCAGGATGTTTCTTGACCGGAGCTCTCTCAGCATAAGGAGCATCCTCTTTAGGCTTTCCTTCAAAATCTCCTGCCATTCTTAGGTTGTCAGGATGTTTCTTCACAGGAGCACGTTCACCTCTTGGAACTTCTTCTGGTGTTGGTGCATAGAAGTCACCATCCATGCGGAGATTGTCTGTATGTTTCTTAACTGGTTCTCTTTGAACATATGGAGCATCCTCTTTAGGTTTTCCTTCAAAATCTCCAACCATCTTCAAATTGTCTGGATGCCTTTTAACTGGTGCTCGTTCTCCTCTTGGTGCATCTTCATGTGATGGTGCATAAAAGTTTCCATCCAAGCGAAGATTGTCTGGGTGTTTTTTGACTGGAGCCCTCTCAGCAAATGGTGCCTCTTCATGGGGTTTTCCTGTGAAATCTCCAACCATACGAAGGTTGTCTGGATGTTTCTTGACAGTTGCTCTTTCTCCAATTGTAACTTGTTCATACTCCTTGCCAGTAAATTCTCCCTCCATTCGTAAGTTGTCTTCTCGTCTAATGACTTCAGATCTCTCTCCTCGAAGAACTGTATATTCTTCCTTTCCCTGAAATTCTCCAGTCATATGAAGATTATCAGTATGTCTCTTGATTGGTGCTCGTACACCTTGGGGAGCTTCTCCAGGTGTTGGAGCATAGAAGACTCCATCCATGTGAAGATTATCAGGATGCTTTTTGACAGGAGCCCTTTCTGCATGGGGTGCATCTTCACGTGGCTTTCCTTCAAAATCACCAGCCATGATTAAATTGTCAGGATGTTTCTTAGTAGGGGCTCGTTCCCCTCGTGGTGCTTCTGAAGGTGTTGGTGCATAAAATTCTCCATTCATTTGAAGGTTGTCAGGGTGCTTCTTAATGGGGGCTCTCTGAGCATATGGAGCATCCTCCCGAGGTTTTCCTACAAATTCGCCTACCATCGTAAGATTGTCTGGATGTTTTTTGATGGGTGCTCGTTCCCCATGGGGAGCCTCTCCAGGTTTAGGTGCATAAAATTCTCCATCCATATGAAGATTATCAGGATGTTTCTTCACAGGGGCCCTTTCTGCATAGGGAGCATCTTCTCGAGGTTTCCCTTCAAAGTCTCCAACCATCTTTAGGTTGTCAGGGTGTTTCTTCACAGGTGCACGTTCTCCTCTTGGAGCTTCTTCTGGGGTTGGAGCATAGAAGTCACCATCCATACGAAGATTATCAGGATGTTTCTTGACAGGGGAACGCTGTGCATAGGGAGCATCTTCTCGTGGTTTTCCTTCAAAGTCTCCAGTCATCTTAAGATTGTCAGGATGTTTCTTCACAGGTGCACGTTCTCCTCGTGGTGCATCTTCATGTGTTGGAGCATAAAAGTCCCCACCCATACGGAGATTGTCAGGATGTTTAGTGACAGGAGCTCTCTGTGCATATGGAACATCTTCACGAGGCTTTCCTTCAAAGTCACCAACCATTTTAAGGTTGTCAGGGTGTTTCTTCACGGGTGCACGTTCTCCTCTTGGAGCCTCTCCTGGGGTTGGTGCATAAAAATCACCATCCATCCGAAGATTATCAGGATGTTTCTTGACAGGGGAACGCTGTGCATAGGGAGCATCTTCTCGTGGTTTTCCTTCAAAGTCTCCAGTCATCTTAAGATTGTCAGGATGTTTCTTCACAGGTGCACGTTCTCCTCTTGGTGCATCTTCGTGTGTTGGGGCATAGAAGTCCCCATCCATTCGCAGGTTGTCAGGATGTTTCTTGACAGGGGCACGCTGTGCATAGGGAGCATCCTCCTTAGGCTTTCCCTCAAAGTCTCCAACCATGCGTAGGTTATCTGGATGTCTTTTAACAGTTGCTCGTTCTCCAATTGTCACTTCCTCATGCTCTTTACCAAAGAATTCTCCTTCCATTCGTAAATTATCTTCTCTTCGAACAACTTCAACTCTTTCACCTCGGATGACTGTATGTTCTTCTTTTCCTTGGAATTCTCCCGTCATTTGCAGATTATCAAGATGACGTTTCACAGGTGCTCGCTCACCCCGTGGAGCTTCTTCAGGTGTTGGTGCATAGAAATCTCCATCCATATGAAGGTTATCAGGATGTCTCTTCACTGGCTCTCTCTGAGCATAAGGAGCATCATCTCTAGGCTTTCCTTCAAAGTCTCCAGACATCTTCAGATTGTCTGGATGCTTCTTAACTGGTGCTCGTTCCCCTCGAGGAGCATCTTCAGGAGATGGGGCATAAAAGTCTCCATCCATGCGAAGATTATCTGGGTGTTTCTTGACAGGAGCTCTTTCAGCATATGGAGCATCTTCCCGAGGTTTTCCTTCAAAATCTCCAACCATCTTCAGGTTGTCAGGATGTTTCTGAACAGGAGCTCGCTCTCCTCTTGGTGCTTCTCCAGGACTTGGAGCATAGAAATCACCATCCATGCGAAGATTGTCTGGATGTTTCTTAACAGGGGCCCTCTGTGCATAGGGAGCATCCTCTCGTGGTTTACCTTGGAAGTCTCCATCCATTCTTAAGTTGTCAGGATGTTTCTTGACAGGGGCACGCTCTCCTCGTGGCACATCTTCAGGTGATGGAGCATAGAAATCACCATCCATACGAAGATTATCAGGATGCTTTTTGACTGGAGCTCTTTCTGCATAAGGTGCATCTTCACGAGGCTTTCCTTCAAAGTCACCAACCATCTTGAGGTTGTCAGGATGCTTCTGAACAGGTGCACGCTCACCTCTTGGAGCTTCTCCAGGGGTGGGTGCATAAAAGTCCCCATCCATACGAAGATTATCAGGGTGTTTCTTGACTGGTGCTCGCTGTGCATATGGAGCATCCTCCTGAGGCTTTCCTTCAAAGTCACCAATCATTTTGAGGTTGTCAGGATGTTTTTTAACAGGAGCACGTTCCCCTCTTGGAGCTTCCCCAGGGGTTGGAGCATAGAAGTCACCATCCATCTGAAGATTATCAGGATGCTTCTTAACAGGTGCTCGTTGACCATAAGGAGCATCTTCCCGAGGCTTTCCTTCAAATTTGCCAACCATCTTAAGGTTGTCTGGATGTTTCTTAACAGGGGCACGCTCCCCTCTTGGAGCATCTTCAGGTGTTGGAGCATAGAAATCTCCATCCATGCGAAGATTGTCTGGATGTCTTTTGACTGGAGCCCTTTCTGAATATGGTGCTTCTTCACGAGGTTTCCCAGTGAAATCTCCAACCATACGAAGATTGTCCTCATGTTTCTTAATTGTTGCTCTTTCACCAATTGTAATCTGCTCATGCTCTTTCCCAAAGAATTCTCCCTCCATGCGTAAGTTGTCCTCACGACGAACTACTTGTACTCTCTCTCCTCGAACAATTCTATATTCTTCTTCCTTTCCTTGGAATTCTCCAGTCATTTGTAAATTGTCAACTTGTCGCTTAACAGGAGCACGTTCCCCTCTTGGGGCTTCTCCAGGTGTTGGAGCATAAAAATCACCATCCAAATGAAGATTGTCTGGGTGCCTTTTGATAGGAGCCCTTTCTGCATGAGGAGCATCTTCACGAGGTTTTCCTTCAAAGTCACCAACCATCTTGAGATTGTCAGGATGCTTTTGAACAGGAGCACGCTCCCCTCTTGGAGCTTCTTCAGGTGTTGGTGCATAAAAGTCCCCATCCATACGTAGATTATCAGGATGTTTCTTGACTGGTGCTCGCTGCCCATAGGGAGCATCTTCCAGAGACTTTCCTTCGAAGTCTCCAGACATCTTAAGGTTATCTGGATGTTTCTTGACAGGAGCACGTTCCCCTCGTGGCACATCTTCAGGTGATGGTGCATAGAAGTCTCCATCCATACGAAGATTATCAGGGTGTTTCTTGACTGGTGCTCGCTGTGCATATGGAGCATCTTCCCGAGGCTTTCCTTCAAAGTCACCAACCATCTTGAGGTTGTCAGGATGCTTCTGAACAGGAGCACGCTCACCTCTTGGAGCTTCTCCAGGGGTGGGTGCATAAAAGTCTCCATCCATACGAAGATTATCAGGGTGTTTCTTAACTGGTGCTCGCTGTGCATATGGAGCATCCTCCCGAGGCTTTCCTTCAAAGTTGCCAATCATTTTGAGGTTGTCAGGATGTTTCTTAACAGGGGCACGTTCTCCTCTTGGAGCTTCACCAGGGGTTGGAGCATAGAAGTCACCATCCATCTGAAGATTATCAGGATGCTTCTTAACAGGTGCTCGTTGACCATAAGGAGCATCTTCCCTAGGTTTTCCTTCAAAGTCACCAACCATCTTAAGGTTGTCTGGATGTTTCTTAACAGGGGCACGCTCCCCTCTTGGAGCATCTTCAGGTGTTGGAGCATAGAAATCTCCATCCATGCGAAGATTGTCTGGATGTCTTTTGACTGGAGCCCTTTCTGAGTGTGGTGCTTCTTCACGAGGTTTCCCAGTGAAATCTCCAACCATACGAAGATTATCCTCATGTTTCTTAATTGTTGCTCTTTCGCCAACTGTAACCTCTTCATGTTCTTTCCCAATAAATTCTCCTTCCATACGAAGGTTGTCCTCACGACGAACTACTTGTACTCTCTCTCCTCGAACAATTCTGTATTCTTCTTCCTTTCCTTGGAATTCTCCAGTCATGTGTAAATTGTCAACTTGTCGCTTAACAGGTGCACGTTCCCCTCTCGGGGCTTCTCCAGGTGTTGGAGCATAAAAATCGCCATCCATACGAAGATTGTCTGGATGTTTTTTGACTGGAGCTCTCTGTGCATAAGGAGCATCTTCTCGGGGTTTACCTTGAAAGTCTCCATCCATTTTCAAATTGTCAGGATGCTTTTTGACAGGAGCACGTTCCCCTTGCGGCACATCTTCAGGTGATGGTGCATAGAAGTCTCCATCCATACGAAGATTATCAGGGTGTTTCTTGACAGTAGCTCGTTCTGCATAAGGAGCATCTTCACGAGGCTTTCCTTCAAAGTCACCAGCCATCTTAAGGTTGTCAGGATGTCTCTTAACAGGAGCACGTTCTCCTCTTGGAGCTTCGCCAGGGGCCGGAGCATAAAAGTCACCATCCATCTGAAGATTATCAGGATGCTTCTTAACAGGTGCTCGTTGGCCATAAGGAGCATCTTCCCGAGGTTTTCCTTCAAAATCACCAACCATCTTAAGGTTGTCTGGATGTTTCTTAACAGGGGCACGCTCCCCTCTTGGAGCATCTTCAGGTGTTGGAGCATAGAAATCTCCATCCATGCGAAGATTGTCTGGATGTCTCTTGACTGGAGCCCTTTCTGAATATGGTGCTTCTTCACGAGGTTTCCCAGTGAAATCTCCAACCATACGAAGATTGTCCTCATGTTTCTTAATTGTTGCTCTTTCACCAATTGTAACCTGCTCGTGCTCTTTCCCAAAGAATTCTCCCTCCATGTGTAAGTTGTCCTCACGACGAACTACTTGTACTCTCTCTCCTCGAACAATTCTGTATTCTTCCTCCTTTCCTTGGAATTCTCCAGTCATATGTAAATTGTCAACTTGTCGCTTAACAGGAGCTCGTTCACCACGTGGAGCCTCTTCAGGAGTAGGAGCAATGAAGTCACCCTCCATACGGAGGTTATCAGGATGTTTCTTAACAGGTGATCTCTTTGTATAAGGAGCATCTTCACGAGGTTTTCCTTCAAAGTCTCCAGACATCTTGAGATTGTCAGGATGTTTCTTGACAGGAGCACGCTCCCCTCGAGGTACATCTTCATGTGATGGTGCATAGAAATCCCCATCCATACGAAGGTTGTCAGGGTGTTTCTTGACAGTAGCTCTCTCTCCAACTCGTACTTGTTCATATTCTTTTCCGGTGAACTCTCCTTCAACACGTAAGTTGTCTTCTCTTCGGACAACTTCAACTCTTTCACCTCTCACAACTTTATAATTTTCTTCTTTTCCAGTGAAGTCTCCTGTCATATGTAGATTGTCTGGATGTTTTTTTGTTTGTGCTCGATCTGCCCTTGGTGCTTCTTCTGGTTTTGGAGCTGAAAAGTCACCCTCCATGCGAAGATTGTCTGGATGCCTTTTAATAGGTGCTCTCTCGCCATGTGGTGCATCTTCTCTTGGTTTACCAACGAAATCCCCATCCATTTTTAAATTGTCTGGATGCCTTTTCACAGACGCTCTCTCACCAATTGTTATGTGCTCATGTTCCTTGCCAGTGAAGTCTCCTTCCATGTGTAGATTATCTTCATGACGCACAACCTTGACTCTCTCACCTTTGATAATTCTATATTCGTCTTCCTTTCCTTGGAAATCCCCAGTCATATGTAGGTTGTCTGGATGCCTCTTGATTGGTGCTCTTTCCCCATGTGGAGCATCTTCTCGAGGTTTTCCAGTGAAGTCTCCTGATAATTTAATGTTATCTGGATATTTCTTTACTGGTTCTCTGACTCCTGCAGGAGCTTTTCCTGGTTCAGGAGCCATGAAATCACCTTGCAGTCGCAGGTTGTCTTCATGCTTTACCACATGTGTTTTTTCTCCTTGAAACTTCTGATAATCATATTGTTTGCCTGTAAAACTTCCCTCCATCTTCAAAGAATCTTCATGCCTTTTTATTTCAGCTCTTTCACCTTTGAATATCACTTGTTCTTTTCTTTCTACATTGAACTCTCCCTCCATATGTAATTGATCTTCGTGCCGAACTACCTTGGCTCGCTCTCCTCTGACAGGAGTAGTGTCATTTGATTTTCCTTCAAATTCTCCCTGAAGTTTAAGATTATCTGCATGTTTCTTGGTTTTAGCTCTATCTCCTTTAACTGGACTTCGACCTCTTGGTGTAGATTCGAAATCCCCTTCCATCTTGAGGTTATCAGGATGCTTTCTGATTGCAGCACGCTCTCCCTTGGGTGGGGACTCGGGTGATCGACCCATGAAATCTCCTTCTACCTTTAAGTTATCAGGGTGCTTCTTGGGAGATACACGTTCACCCTTTGTAGGACTCTTACTTCTTACTGTACCCTCAAAGGTCCCTTCCATCTTAAGATTGTCAGGATGGTGCTTAGGCATGGAACGCTCTCCTTTCACTGGGCTACGACTTCGAGAACGTCCTGTAAATTCTCCTTCCATGCGTAAGTTGTCTGGATATCTTTTGATTTGTTGTCTCTCAGCCAATGGAACTTCTCCAGCTGGTCGAGTTTCAATGTCACCTGAGAGCTTTAGGTTATCTGGGTAGCGCTTTATACCTGCTTTTTCTCCAACTGGAGCTCCATCAACAGGTTTTCCTTCAAAGTCACCTTCCATTTTCAGATTATCTGGGTGCTTTTTCACTGGGGCCCTCTCACCATGAGGGGCACCTTCTGCCAGCTTCCCTTCAAATGATCCCTCTAGCTTTAAGTTATCTGGGTGACGTTTGGCAGGTACTCTGTCACCTTTCATTATCAAAGATTCCCTTGTTTTCCCCTCAAATTCTCCTTCCATCTTTAAATTATCTTCATGTTTGGTAATTTGAGACTTTTCAGATTGTTGGTATGCCTTGTACTCCTCACTGGATCGGTTCATGTACATCTCTCCTTCCAGTTTTGTCCACGTCTTCTTCCGTTGCAATTTAGGTCTATCACCAGATTTTTCAAAGTATTCAGATTGAGAAGAGGACATGATGGTCTCCATCTCACCGTCAAACTTGATATTATCTTGGTGTACAAGGCGCTCAGAATGTGAAACTGACTCGTGTTTCTGGTATGTCTCTTTGCTAGATGTGACGCCGGTGAACTCACCGTCGAGTTTTAGAGAATCTTGGTAATGCCTGGTCTCTGCTCTGTCACCCTGGACAACATTGTAGTAGTTCTTATTAGTGCTGACACCTATAATGTAGAAAAAGTATCCCATTAGCTCGTTAATTTTTTTGAAATTAGCCCTAGACACCCATTTTAATGCTCACAATAACAAATCTCTCATGCTATTTAGGCAGAGTGATCCTAGCTTATAAGGTAATCATTGTTTTGCCAAACAAGGAGAGTGTCAATGCATTGTTTCAGTAATATGTGAAATTAATAAATTTTTACATGAAATTATATTAATTAAAGTTTGGCTGAAATATGATTTGCTGGATAGGATTAGGGTAAAATATATTATCGTAATTTTAGCAAGGTAAGGTTAGGCTGTTAAGTTACCTTTGTGGAAAATGAAAATTTTTCATAACATATTAATTTACAAAAATTACTTTTATCACTGCCTAAGTGAAAATTTTGGAGAAAATCTAGATTTTCTGGAATTCTGGTTGTATGAACACTTCTTCATAAAAAACGTAATCACCACATTATAAAGGAAATTTATGTATCACAAACAAATCACAGTTTTTAAGATTCGAAGTGATTGCAAAGACATTTATATAAAGAACTTGTGAAAATGTTTTAACTCGTAAAAAATTTAGGAAAAAAATTTCAGGCAATATACCCTCAAAATCGCCAGACGGAGCAAGGTTGTCCTGTGGTCTTCTTACGGCTGCTCTGTCGCCTTGACCTGGTGAAGCTTTATCAGGCACAGAGAAATCTCCTTCAGGTCTTAGATTATCTGACGGTCTCTTGACATCAGCACGGTCACCTTTTCCTGGTGTTGTCTTCTCTGGTGCCGTGAAGTCACCTTCTGTTCTAAGGTTATCAGATGGTTTTTTGACGTAGGCTCGGTCTCCTTGGCCAGGTGAGGTCTTCTCTGGGGCTGAGAAGTCTCCTTCTGGTCTTAGATTGTCTATTGGTCTCTTAATATCAGCTCGATCTCCCTTTCCTGGTGAGGTCTTTTCTGGGTAATAAAGATCTCCCTTGAGCTTGAGTGAATCCTGAGGGCGCTTGGCTGTAAGCACTCCACCAGACACAGTCATAAACTCTTCCTTATGGCTGCTCTTTCCTGCCAAGAAATGAGTTTAATCATAGTAATAATGGGCCTCGACATTAGAAAAACCTATATACATTGTTTATTTGTAATATAAACAACAAAAATTGAAAGTAATGTGACTTTTATTGTTCCATTTTTTTCTTTCCTATTAACCAAATCGTTCCAATTCTGGCACTTCGGATTTTGTTGTATGTTTCTGTTAATGTGCAAATACATACATATTAAACAAAACAACTGTTTTAAAAATATAGTTCTAAGAAAGTAGTTATAAAACAGTAGTTCTAAGCTAAGTAATACCATGACAGTAGTTCTAAGATTGTTCTAAGTGATTCCATGACAGTGGTTGTAAGACAGTGATTCTACGACTGCTTCTAATGTATTGATTCTATGATAGTGATTCTAAGATAGTGGTAATGTCAGGTAAAAGGACACATATGCAACTAATGTGACATTTAAATGTGGCAACGTTTCGCTAGTGGTTCTGAGACTGGTTCTAACTCAGTGGCTCTAAGACAAACGGGAAAGAAGGTCGTGTGTTGGGGGGCAGAAGTAACATACCATAGTAATCGCCAGCAGCCCTGATGGTGGAGACGTCTTGTTTGGACCTCAGTTCCCTGTTGTCGACAGCTTGATGTACCTCAGTGCTTCGTGACTCTGAAAGACGACGTTATTATGATACAGAGTCTCTCTCTCTCTCTCTCTCTCTCTCTCTCTCTCTCTTCTCTCTCTCTCTCTCTCTCTCTCTCATTTATTCCTATTGTGATTTTTGTATTATTCAATGACTTGTAAACAGCAAATTGGCTAAATATTTTAGTATACAATATTGCATGGTAAATCTGATTAGAAAACTGTATACTAATAGCTTAATCACATAACAGTGATTATACATGTGTTAGTTAGTTAGTGTGTGTGTGTGTGTGTGTGTGTGTGTGTGTGTGTGTGTGTGTGTGTGTGTTGTGTGTGTGTGTGTGTGTGTGTGTGTGCGTGTGTGTGTGTGTGTGCGTGCGTGTGTGTGTGTGTGTGTGTGTGTGTGTAGGTGGATGGTTATGGGGGTCGAGTCAACTCCAGACCCTTTCCTCTCCTATTAACTAAATGCGACAGCTTTCATACGTTCCCTGCCTCAGTTGCCCTGTCGTGCCTATCCTTAAAATTGCGTGTGTATTTTATTTTACCTGTTATGCTGGAGTCATGGCTGGCCATCATGGCCTTGCGGTGAGACTCTTCTCTCTGCTGTGATACCTGTAATGTCTGCTGCATCTCTGACAGCTGTCTCTGGTTCACTGACATCTGTTGTCTCTCTGATATGTGCTGACTCGTTGATGACATCTCTGTCTGTGATGTGTGTTGACTCGAGGATGTCATCTGCTCTCGCTCTGACATTTGCTGACTCCGCAATATCCGCTGGCTTTCTGACAGCATTTCTTCGCTGACTGATAGTTCCTGCTGACTATGTGACCTGCTCTCCCGGCTGTGAGTGCTCTCAGCGGCGCTACTGAGCATATGTGTGCTCTCTTGCATCTCTGCTATTCTCTGGCTCTCTGACACGCTCTTCTGTGAGAAGCTCTTGCTCTCTCGCTTGTTCATCTCCGAGCGTGAGCTCTGAAGAGATTCCTGGGAGCTGACACCAGAGATGCTGACAGTTCCGGCGGTTTGAGCTCGTGAGTCTGAACTCGACACCTGACGTGTGCTTGAAGTAATGGAGGTGGAAGAGGAGGACTCCCTGATGGCGCTGGAGGAGGAGTGGGAGAAGGAGGAGACGAGGGAGGTGGAGCCGACATGTTGGCGGCCAGCCAAGGAGGAGTCGATCACTGCTTCACCACCAACACAAACAAAAGCAAAAACCAGAAAAAAAAAATAAAACGTAAATAAAATAGTGAAAACAGTTGAAAGCATTTTTATACCCAATAAATAAATACTCTAGGTAAATAAAAATTTAGTAAAGTGTAAAACAAATTATAAAATAATAAAAAATGCATAAATTAATATTAAAAGCTTGTAAAAATAAAGATTATGTAGGATTTCTAACTATTTCAGACAAAAAAAAACAGTTGTGATAGGCCTATATATCTATTTTTAAAGATATCCCAGAAACTCGAGTTTAGGGTCACGTGGTTTAAATAAGCATCTGAGTGGATCTCAGAATTTCAGTACAGTCTATGTCAAGAAAGACAGGATGGAGGAGAGAGAGGCAGAAAGAAATACATAGAAAAGATGTCCGTTTCTGTTTTTCTCTCCTCCATCTTGTCTGCCCTGACAAAAACTGTGTCGCATTTGTCAGATTTTCCCCATTCGATTTTCTCCTCATCACCAGAACCTGCTTCTGACCTCGTAAATAATTCGCAACGGCCTCATATGCCATTTTTTTTAATTTTCATAACGATTTTCGTGGTTCATCATTATAAATATCTTGAGGGAAAATGGGAGGTTAAAGTGGCTTTTCGAATTATTTTTTGTATGTGAAAGACATTATAAATATGAATACCAGTGTTGTGGGTCGAACATAATTTGTAAAGAGAGTGTTGCAGTTTATAAGGTTGAAATATGTAATGTTGATGAAATCTGGTCACACAGTTTGTGTAGAGCTTATTATTGCTCAGGCCAGGATGATATTGTGGCACAAAGTTAGGTGGTGATAGAGGAACTTGGGTTGTGGTAGAGGAACTTGGGTTGTGATAGAGGAACTTGGGTTGTGATAGAGGAACTTGGGTTGTGGTAGAGGAACTTGGGTTGCGACAGAGGAACTTGGGTTGTGGTAGAGGAACTTGGGTTGTGGTAGAGGAACTTGGGTTGTGATAGAGGAACTTGGGTTGTGATAGAGGAACTTGGGTTGTGATAGAGGAACTTGGGTTGTGATAGAGGAACTTGGGTTGTGATAGAGGAACTTGGGTTGTGATAGAGGAACTTGGGTTGTGATAGAGGAACTTGGGTTGTGATAGAGGAACTTGGGTTGTGATAGAGGAACTTGGGTTGTGATAGAGGAACTTGGGTTGTGATAGAGGAACTTGGGTTGTGATAGAGGAACTTGGGTTGTGATAGAGGAACTTGGTTGTGATAGAGGAACTTGGGTTGTGATAGAGGAACTTGGCTTGTGATAGAGGAACTTGGCTTGTGATAGAGGAACTTGGGTTGTGATAGAGGAACTTGGCTTGTGATAGAGGAACTTGGCTTGTGATAGAGGAACTTGGCTTGTGATAGAGGAACTTGGCTTGTGATAGAGGAACTTGGCTTGTGATAGAGGAACTTGGCTTGTGATAGAGGAACTTGGCTTGTGATAGAGGAACTTGGCTTGTGATAGAGGAACTTGGCTTGTGATAGAGGAACTTGGCTTGTGATAGAGGAACTTGGCTTGTGATAGAGGAACTTGGCTTGTGATAGAGGAACTTGGCTTGTGATAGAGGAACTTGGCTTGTGATAGAGGAACTTGGCTTGTGATAGAGGAACTTGGCTTGTGATAGAGGAACTTGGCTTGTGATAGAGGAACTTGGCTTGTGATAGAGGAACTTGGCTTGTGATAGAGGAACTTGGCTTGTGATAGAGGAACTTGGCTTGTGATAGAGGAACTTGGCTTGTGATAGAGGAACTTGGCTTGTGATAGAGGAACTTGGCTTGTGATAAGAATTGTTGTGAGAAACTTGGCTTGTGATAGAGAACTTGGTAAAAACTTGGGTTGTGATAGAGGAACTTGGGTTGTGATAGAGGAACTTGGGTTGTGATAGAGGAACTTGGGTTGTGATAGAGGAACTTGGGTTGTGATAGAAGAACTTGGGTTGTGATAGAGGAACTTGGGTTGTGATAGAGGAACTTGGGTTGTAATAGAGGAACTTGGGTTGTAATAGAGGAACTTGGGTTGTGATAGAGGAACTTGGGTTGTGATAGAGGAACTTGGGTTGTGATAGAGGAACTTGGGTTGTGATAGAGGAACTTGGGTTGTGATAGAGGAACTTGGGTTGTGATAGAGAAACTTGGGTTGTGATAGAGGAATCTGCTTTGTGATAGAGGAACTTGGGTTGTGATAGAGGAACTTGGGTTGTGATAGAGGAACTTGGGTTGTGATAGAGGAACTTGGGTTGTGATAGAGGTTGTGATAGAGGAATTTGCTTTGTGATAAAGGAACTTGGGTTGTGATAGAGGAATCTGCTTTGTGATAGAGGAACTTGGGTTGTGATAGAGGAACTTGGGATGTGATAGGGGAATTTGGGATGTGATAGAGGAACTTAGGTTGTGATAGAGGAACTTAGGTTCTGATAGAGGAACTTGGGTTGTGATAGAGGAACTTAGGTTGTGATAGAACTTACCAGTGACACCACCGCCGCCTACAACTTGGGTCTGTAACACCTCGCTGGCTCCTCCGGTACCCAATACTGCCTGCAACATAACTTTTCATTAGTCATTTATACAGTCTAAGCATAAATGTACAAAATTATCACCAAAATCTAGTAAATACACGAAGCCAAAAAGAACCACGGAAAAAATAATTATCAAAGATTCTTTCAAATGTAATTCTCGACCTTGAAGGTGACGAGATACAGGACAGCTTCAAGGTGACGAGATACAGGACAGCTTCAAGGTGACGAGATACAGGACAGCTTCAAGGTGACGAGATACAGGACAGCTTCAAGGTGACGAGATACAGGACAGCTTCAAGGTGACGAGATACAGGACAGCTTCAAGGTGACGAGATACAGGACAGCTTCAAGGTGACGAGATACAGGACAACTTCAAGGTGATGAGATACAGGAAAGCTTCAAGGTGACGAGATACAGGACAGCTTCAAGGTGACGAGATACAGGACAGCTTCAAGGTGACGAGATACAGGACAGCTTCAAGGTGACGAGATACAGGACAACTTCAAGGTGATGAGATACAGGAAAGCTTCAAGGTGACGAGATACAGGACAGCTTCAAGGTGACGAGATACAGGACAGCTTCAAGGTGACGAGATACAGGACAGCGTCAAGGTGACGAGATACAGGACAGCTTCAAGGTGACGAGATACAGGACAGCTTCAAGGTGACGAGATACAGGACAGCTTCAAGGTGACGAGATACAGGACAGCTTCAAGTGACGAGATACAGGACAGCTTCAAGGTGACGAGATACAGGACAGCTTCAAGGTGACGAGATACAGCACAGCTTCAAGGTGACGAGATACAGCACAGCTTCAAGGTGACGAGATACAGGACAGCTTCAAGGTGACGAGATACAGGACAGCTTCAAGGTGACGAGATACAGGACAGCTTCAAGGTGACGAGATACAGGACAGCTTCAAGGTGACGAGATACAGCACAGCTTCAAGGTGACGAGATACAGCACAGCTTCAAGGTGACGAGATACAGGACAGCTTCAAGGTGACGAGATACAGGAAAGCTTCAAGGTGACGAGATACAGGACAGCTTCAAGGTGACGAGATACAGGACAGCTTCAAGGTGACGAGATACAGGACAGCTTCAAGGTGACGAGATACAGCACAGCTTCAAGGTGACGAGATACAGCACAGCTTCAAGGTGACGAGATACAGCACAGCTTCAAGGTGACGAGATACAGGACAGCTTCAAGGTGACGAGATACAGGACAGCTTCAAGGTGACGAGATACAGCACAGCTTCAAGGTGACGAGATACAGCACAGCTTCAAGGTGACGAGATACAGGACAGCTTCAAGGTGACGAGATACAGGACAGCTTCAAGGTGACGAGATACAGGACAGCTTCAAGGTGACGAGATACAGGACAGCTTCAAGGTGACGAGATACAGGACAGCTTCAAGGTGACGAGATACAGCACAGCTTCAAGGTGACGAGATACAGCACAGCTTCAAGGTGACGAGATACAGGACAGCTTCAAGGTGACGAGATACAGGAAAGCTTCAAGGTGACGAGATACAGGACAGCTTCAAGGTGACGAGATACAGGACAGCTTCAGGGTGACGAGATACAGGACAGCTTCAAGGTGACGAGATACAGCACAGCTTCAAGGTGACGAGATACAGCACAGCTTCAAGGTGACGAGATACAGGACAGCTTCAAGGTGACGAGATACAGCACAGCTTCAAGGTGACGAGATACAGGACAGCGTCAAGGTGACGACATACAGGACAGCTTCAAGGTGACGAGATACAGGACAGCTTCAAGGTGATGAGATACAGGACAGCTTCAAGGTGAAGAGATACAGGACAGCTTCAAGGTGAAGAGATACAGGACAGCTTCAAGGTGAAGAGATACAGGACAGCTTCAAGGTGAAGAGATACAGGACAGCTTCAAGGTGAAGAGATACAGGACAGCTTCAAGGTGAAGAGATACAGGACAGCTTCAAGGTGAAGAGATACAGGACAGCTTCAAGGTGAAGAGATACAGAACAGCTTCAAGGTGAAGAGATACAGGACAGCTTCAAGGTGACGAGATACAGGACAGCTTCAAGGTGACCAGATACAGCACAGCTTCAAGGTGACGAGATACAGCACAGCTTCAAGGTGACCAGATACAGGACAGCTTCAAGGTGACAAGATATAGGACAGTTTCAAGGAGTACTCGAGATGGAGTAGTTCTTTAAGCTCCTCTTAAAGGTAAACACTTCCAAAAGGATCATTAAATTATTTCTCATTTCTCGTTTTTTCCAGACTGTGAGTCACTACAGTTGCACCGAAGGTAGACCTAATTTATATATTTTTCATTACTTTTCTCTTTTATGCTTGTTATTGTGAGTGTATTTATTTTGATGGATAGATTTAGTGTGTATGAGTGTATATGCCTTTCTTATATAGAAAATTAAACTATAGCATAAGTTTTCCTGACACGAATACTGAATGATGTCACAGAATTAAGTGATGTGTAAACATTAGAGCTTCGTGAGTACCTTTCCGTCCTGCGTGGTAGTATGAGTGCCGCCTGTAGTGAGCTTTCCTTGATGCTGATTCTGTGTCTCGATAGAAAGGGAGTCTGTGAATCGCTGTAGTTCCTCCTTCGTTCTCTGTGTTGACGAACGTACTCGCTGCTCAGCCTGTGAGGAGGTCTCCAGTTGCTGCTGTGTGCTGCTGGAGATCTGCTGGACGGAAGAAGAGCTCTGCTGTACACTGGAGGAACTCTGTTGTACACTGGAAGAGGTCTGTTCGGTCGAAGATGATGTGTGTTGGTGGCTGGCTGTGTGCACGTCCCTACCCTCGGAGATTTCTACAGTGCCTCCGCTCTCGGTTCTGTAGGGAGGGTAAAAGATCGATGTTAGTGGCTCTTAACTCAGAGCTGGTTCATCGCTACACTACCAGATCTCTCTAGTCTCACAGACACAAACTAACTGTAGTCTCACAGACACAAACTAACTGTAGTCTCACAGACACAAACTAACTGTAGTCTCACAGACACAAACTGTAGTCTCGCAGACACAAACTGTAGTCTCACAGACACAAACTGTAGTCTCACAGACACAAACTGTAGTCTCACAGACACAAACTGTAGTCTCACAGACACAAACTGTAGTCTCTCAGACACAAACTGTAGTCTCACAGACACAAACTGTAGTCTCACAGACACAAACTGTAGTCTCACAGACACAAACTGTAGTCTCACAGACACAAACTGTAGTCTCACAAACACAAACTGTAGTCTCACAAACACAAACTGTAGTCTCACAAACACAAACTGTAGTCTCACAGACACAAACTGTAGTCTCACAGATGGCATCGCGTTATATCCCTGGAAGAATGTCACATTGATAACGTACATCTACCCTGATTGATTCCTATGACCCATTTAATATCACAGACCACTACATTAACATTACAGACCGCTGCATTAACATTACAGACCGCTGCATTAACATTACATATCGCTACATTAATAATACATGCTTCTACTTTAATACTAATAAAAACAGAATTCTACAATCCACACCTGTACAGTGAACCCGCACATTGGAGATGATAAACGACGTTTCGGTCCGCAGTTGACCATCATTGTGACATGATAATAGTTCACGACCTGTCGAAATGTGGTTTAGTTTCTGTCCCCATTTTGTGACTTGTGAATTGTTCTAGCCAGTGTATTGTGACTTGTGAATTGTTCCAGCCAGGGCATTGTGACTTGTGAATTGTTCCAGCCAGGGCATTGTGACTTGTGAATTGTTCCAGCCAGGGTATTGTGACTTGTGAATTGTTCCAGCCAGGGTATTGTGACTTGTGAATTGTTCCAGCCAGGGTATTGTGACTTGTGAATTGTTCCAGCCAGGGTATTGTGACTTGTGAATTGTTCCAGCCAGGGTATTGTGACTTGTGAATTGTTCCAGCCAGGGTATTGTGACTTGTGAATTGTTCCAGCCAGGGTATTGTGACTTGTGAATTGTTCCAGTCAGGGTATTGTGACTTGTGAATTGTTCCAGCCAGGGCATTGTGACTTGTGAATTGTTCCAGCCAGGGTATTGTGACTTGTGAATTGTTCCAGCCATTTTGTGCACAGTGCACAATGTGCAACAATGCAGATTACTGCACACTGCAGCGTGTACTTACAGACGTACAGAGCCCAGCACGGGCAGTACAGACCAACCCTGAGCGAGCACCCCAGCTTGCAGTTATGCAACAAGTCGTTCACTTAGGCTGTGCACGTAAAGGCTGACTTAATGTTCGCTGCCTTGTACGTTGCACATGCTTGAGACTGTGCATCGTCCTTTGCAGTGATGCAGAAGTGGTGTACACGTCTTCAGGTGCACATGTTCAGGTGGTGTGCACGCTCTCCGGTGCTCTCATCGAATACTGTGTGTTTTAAGCTTCAATAATTTATGAGATGTCTGCGGTTGATGCTGCTGCTCTTACTGTTCCTGTTTCTGCTGCCGTTACTGCTGTTCATGGTGTATTGTCTGCTTCTGCTGCTGCCGTTGCTGCTGTTGCTTCTGCTGTTATTGTCACTGCTGCTGTTTCTGCTGCCGTTGCTGTTGAAGCTGTTATTGCCGATGGTACTATTGTTGCTGTCATTGCTATTACTTCTCAGCTGCTGCTGCTGTTGCTGCTGCTGTTAGTGCTGCTGCTGCTAGTGCTGCTGCTGCTGCTAGTCCTCCTGCTGCTGCTAGTGCTGCTGCTGCTGCTAGTGCTGCTGCTGCTGCTAGTGCTGCTGCTGCTAGTGCTGCTGCTGCTGCTGCTGCTGCTAGTGCTGCTGCTGCTGCTGCTGTTGCTGCTGCTGTTAGTGCTGCTGCTGCTAGTGCTGCTGCTGCTAGTCCTGCTGCTGCTGCTAGTGCTGCTGCTGCTGCTAGTGCTGCTGCTGCTGCTAGTGCTGCTGCTGCTGCTGCTGCTAGTGCTGCTGCTGCTGCTGCTGCTGCTGCTCCTGCTGCTGCTGCTGCTAGTGCTGCTGCTGCTGCTAGTGCTGCTGCTAGTCCAGCTGATAGTGTTGCTGCTGCTGCTGCTGCTAGTGCTGCTGCTGCTGCTGCTGCTGCTGCTAGTGCTGCTGCTGCTGCTGCTGCTGCTAGTGCTGCTGCTAGTGCTGCTGCTGCTGCTAGTGCTGCTGCTGCTGCTGCTGCTGCTAGTGCTGCTGCTGCTAGTGCTGCTGCTGCTGCTGCTAGTGCTGCTGCTGCTGCTAGTGCTGCTGCTAGTCCAGCTGATAGTGTTGCTGCTGCTGCTGCTGCTAGTGCTGCTGCTGCTGCTGCTGCTAGTGCTGCTGCTGCTGCTGCTGCTGCTGTTGCTGCTGCTGCTGCTGCTTCCTACATACCTCTGCAGGGTTCCACATGTCTCCAAGGAGCCGGGAATGCAGCGCTGAGGGGCCCTCCTGTGTGTTATTGACTGGGCGCCCAACAAGAGTCTGGTCGCCCAACTCTTCCTGAAGAAGGACAGAATTACGAGGTCGACCTTCAGATTGAGCCTAGAGACCAAATGATTCTTCTTCTCCCCTGCCTTATTCTTTTCTTCTTTTTTCTCTACTTTCTCCTCTTTCTCTTCTTTCTCTATTTTCTCTACTTTCTCTTCTTTCTCCTTGTTTGTCAGTCCACTCTCCTTCGAAACTGTTGTGGTCAGAGACCTCTCGACTTTTTTTTAACAGAAATGCTTGACCAGGTGTGTGTGTGTGTGTGTGTGTGTGTGTGTGTGTGTGTGTGTGTGTGTGTGTGTGTGTGTGTGTGTGTGTGTGTGTGTGTGTGTGCGTGTGTGTGTGTACTCACCAAGTTGTGCTCACCTAGTTGTGATTTATGACACCCCTACGGGCTTAGTGCTTCCCAATGAATATGTGACAAAGTTACAGTGATCAGTGTGGGTGCTAGCAGCTTCGCCCCTGTCGTACCTGATCATCAAACTGCGTATATAATCTGATTTCAACACATCTATTTTTTTCAAATTTCCAGACCGAAATACTTTGTTATCTTTGTGTTATCTGCCTTTTAAGCTATCTTTTTGACTCCTGGTTATCAGTTTCCTCATTCCACTGATTATTACTCTCCCCATTCCCTTGGTTATCGACCTCATCCTTGCCGTGGTCATTAATTTCCTCATTCTTTCCGTCGACATTCTGAGGATGGTTTTGAAGATTTTCTACATCGTGGTCATGTCTCCCCTGGGGAGAAATCAGAATGGGTGCACGTCAAGGGTCAGTGTTGGGCCCGTTGTTGTTCACAATTTACATAAACGACATAGATGAGGGAATAAATAGCGACATAAGCAAGTTTGCTGATGACACCAAAACAGGCCGTCCAATTCATTCTAATGAGGACATTAGAGCACTCCAGGATGATTTGAATAGACTGACGCAATGGTCGGAGAAGTGGCAAATGCAGTTTAATATTGACAAATGCAAAGTTCTAAATGTTGGACAGTTAAATAACCATGCCACATATAAACTAAATAATGTAGATATTAATACTACCGATTGCGAAAAGGATTTAGGAGTTCTGGTTAGCAGTAATCTAAAACCAAGACAACAGTGCATTAGTGTTCGCAATAAATCTAACAGAATTCTTGGCTTCATATCTAGAAGTACAAATAATAGAAGTCCTCAGGTTGTTCTTCAACTCTATATATCCTTGTTGTTGAATTAGACACATGGGCAACTCTTGGGTATCTTTATTGAGGAAACGTTTCGCCACACAGTGGCTTCATCAGTCCATACAAAGGAGAAACTTGAAGAACAGGAGGAGAATGAGGCAATCAGTCCCTCAGCCTTGAGTCGATGAGGGACTGATTACCTCATTCTCCTCCTGTTCTTCAAGTTTCTCCTTTGTATGGACTGATGAAGCCACTGTGTGGCGAAACGTTTCCTCAATAAAGATACCCAAGAGTTGCACATGTGTCTAATTCAACAACATGTCGGTTCTCTGAACCGACAATCTATAATATCTATATATCCTTGGTTAGGCCTCATTTAGACTATGCTGCTCAGTTCTGGTCACCGTATTACAGAATGGATATAAATGCTCTGGAAAACGTACAGAGGAGGATGACAAAGATGATCCCATGTATCAGAAATCTTCCCTATGAGGATAGACTGAGGGCCCTGAATCTGCACTCTCTCGAAAGGCGTAGAATTAGGGGGGATATGATCGAGGTGTATAAATGGAAAACAGGAATAAATAAAGGGGATGTAAATAGTGTGCTGAAAATTTCCAGCCAAGACAGGACTCGCAGCAATGGTTTCAAGTTGGAAACATTCAGATTCAGGAAGGATATAGGAAAGTACTGGTTTGGTAATATAGTTGTGGATGAATGGAACAAGCTCCCGAGTACAATTATTGAGGCTAAAACGTTGTGTAGTTTTAAAAATAGGTTAGATAAATACATGAGTGGGTGTGGGTGGGTGTGGGTGGGTGTGGGTGGGTGTGGGTGGGTGTGGGTGGGTGTGACTAGCTTTGCTGCTGGGTCTGGTACAGTGCTCCATCCTTGAGAGGGGATGACCAGACTGGGTGGATCATTGTCCGGGGGAGGGACATGGACCTGCTCCGCATGGGTCAGTAGGCCGGTTGCAGTGTTCTTTCTTTATTATGTTCTTATGTTTCTCTCTTTCGAGGTCATTACTTTTAGTTTCTTTATTCTGAGTTTGAGATATAAATAGATAGATAGATGAAAGTGATGGATAGGTAGATATATATATATATATATATTTTTTTTTATTTTATTATCACACTGGCCGATTCCCACCAAGGCAGGGTGGCCCGAAAAAGAAAAACTTTCACCATCATTCACTCCATCACTGTCTTGCCAGAAGGGTGCTTTACACTACAGTTTTTAAACTG